CTTGATCTTAGACTTAGATTTCTATCATTGGTGTAGCAATTGTTGCTCTCTCTGTCCCTTTCTTTAGTTACTCCTGCCTCAGTAACTCAAGAGATGGAGTGAAAGGTTACTCTGGATTCTTACCTGTGGAACTGTCCACATCAGTACTAGTGATCTCATCTGAGTTTCCTTCTTGGAGGGTTTTCCAGGACTGGGGCAGCCTGGTGAAGTAATAGATTTGATATTAATTTTTATTTACATAACACCTTACTTGAGGAACACAGAGCAGTCTATGGGCATTATTTTAATAGTCCAGGAGGAGTTAAGCAAGCCTGGAGAGCTGAACAATAAAGTCCTGTTATTCTAAGCGTTATTTAATATTTTTATGATTTGTCCTTCAAAGAATTCTTGGCCTTCGGGTAAACGATGAACTGCAAGCGGGAGAATGAACTGTTAGCTCAGTCTCTCACACCCTGAAGAGTGTACACGTGACTTGTGTATTGAATCAGCCTGTAGGTCTCTTTAAACTGGGTGGTGGCTTTAAACCACAGAGAGGTTGCTTCTTCCCAGAGGATATTGCCTGTGCTGATTGGTCCCTGTTGTTTAAGTTGGATGCATGCTAATGTGCTGTCACGGCATTCTGGACGAATGCTGAGGAGACTGTATTTGTTCATGACATCTGATGTGAGTCTTGAACTTGTTTTATTTATTTCTTTGGCTGACTTTGCTTTTGGTCACATCCTAGTCTAATGACCGAACAAGGGCAACTGTGCTCTTTTCTAGACTGATGTCTGTTTGTCAAGAACAGTTTTCACAGTTTTGTGTTTTTCTCTGTTGTTAACAACCCCGAAACAGAAACGAAAGCTTTTTATCATGGGAGGAGGGGTATCGGCTTCACTTCCATCCCATTCACCATTCACTCTGAATATCTGTGGTTTGTTTGAAACCAAGTGCCAGTGCCTCTTCTTGGAGGTATAAATTTGCACAGGGTCTGGCAGACGCTGCGGACAGGATGTTGACTCTTGAGTGTCTTGACTGACTAGGAGGCCCAATGGAGGTGCTGCATGGCTCCAGGCAATCTGTGCCTCTAGCCAAGGCCTCTAAAACACAAAGTTTTAAAGTGCTTGCTTAAGATTTTGGGGTCGAAAAATTGCATTTTTTTTTTTTTCCACACAGAAGCTGTGCCAGTGGTTTCCCTGTTAACTCCTGACTGGCCTAACTTTTGCTTCTCAGACTTAGAATTCCTAATCACCCAGTAGGTGCCACTCGGGATGGTCTTCTGCCTGTGGTTAGTTCTGAGCTTGTTTTCTCACTGGTGCAGCAGGACCTTAGACCAAAATGACCTCCAGCATCCTATGAGTCTTGGATCTCTGTGAGATCTGACAGTCACCCTTGCCCCATGGACACCTTCGGGTTACTTTGTCTATTCCAAAATTATTGGGTACCTAATCTCTGCAAGGCATCAGGAGTCCTTGAGTATTACCTTATTCAAGGCATTCAAAGAAGAGGCCTCTGATAGACCAAATGGCCTTTGCAGGAGAGCTTGTGTCCACTGTTAGTGAATTCCTACTAAATTCTTGAAAGGTGAGTGGTATTGCCTTCAGCGTGTCACATGTGAGGAATTTGAAGCTCAGAGCATGGATCTTTGTTTGGTGAACTTTAAAACTTAAACTTTTTACACTATACCCTAAATATGTGGGAATGATTTTCAAGGAGTAAAGATGGGAGAACATATTTTCTAATCCATCCAGCATTTATGGAGATCCTGTTAGAGCTCTGGATAATAATTTAGTGTCAAAAGCAGTAGCGCATTTTCACTACCAATTTTGAGAAGATTGGCATGAAAACCTAAAGCTAATTATAATGTAGAAGTAAGTGCTTCATGGAGATGAGAGGACCCGCTTAGAATACAAGTGTCTGTTTTAGAATTGGATTACTTTATAGCAGAATGCTTGTAAAACACAAGCATTTTTATATGAAATAAAATATAGCTTCTGCTTCCAAGAAGATGTGAACATTGTAAAAATCAGAATTAAGTCATATGAAACTGTCTCTGCCTTTTGAAAATCCAGATGATTCCAAGCCAAAACATTTTTTTTTTGGCAAAGAAATATAAGAAGTTTTTAAAAACAATAGACCCGGAGAATCTCCAGTGCTTATAAAGTGACTACTGTAACTGGGAGGTGAAATGGGAATAATGATTAAGTGCTTGCTTTCTTTGGATGTCTTCGTTCGCCTAAGTGAGCATAATTTAGGTGACTGTGTGAGCATCTGTGTGGCAGCTGCTGGTGCTACAAGTTAATGCCAGAGAAGACAAAATAGTTGGCACACAGATTCTAATTTCATTATTGTACCACGAGCCAGAAAAAATAGGAGTTTATATTCTTTTGAAGTGGGAAAATGTTGTCTGTTTTTTCTTGGGTTTCACACACTTGAACACACAAAGTATCCTCAAGATATTTGTAAGCATTGTCTAACAACTTAGATTATAAGCTGATTTGTTTGTGCTACTGTAAAAAAACAAATCAAACTAGGTGAATTTTATCTGCTGGTGAAATCAGGATTCCATTTTTTTTTTTTTTAAATTTCTAAGGTAGACTCCCAGATAACTTTAAAATGTCCTATAAGCATTTAAAGGAGGGGTTACTGAAGTGTTCAAGTAAAGTTTGATTGGAACACCGCCATGCCCACTCATTTACATATTGTTTTTGACAGGCTGCTTTCCAGCTAAGTGGGTCCGCAGAGTTGAATAGCAATAGAGTCCTTTTGGTCTGCAATCCTAATATAGTTACAGTTTGGCCCTTTGTAGAAAAAGTTTGCTAATCCTCGATTTAAAGTATTGACTGATAGTAGCTTCCTATTGGATGTCATTTTGCAAGGTGCCAGAAGGCCTGCTTGGCCACTAGGACATCTCCCCACCTCAGACAACATGTCTTGATCCTCCAGGGTTAGAACGACTGGTGAAGGAGAAAATGTCTTGGAAAACCATTTGAGAAGAATGGAGGGCTTTCTCCTCCAGAGGAATCATTTTTCTTCTTCTAAGTGAGATGGCCAACCCAGCTGATGCGTTCAAGTCCTTCTAATTTTAGCTCTTTGGTTAAGTGGCATTTATCTCAAAGATAACTTATTTGAAGGGCTGTCATGTGGAAGAGGCCATGGGGAACCAAATTAGGATTAATGTGTGCAAGTTACTGTGAGGCCAGATTTCAGCTCAGTAAAAAATAGTACTTGCTGGGAACTGCCGTAGCTATCATGCGCTTTTGTGGGTAATGAGCTGCCCGTCACTAGAGATTTTCAAATAAAGGTTATATGACCACTTGATATGTGGAATGCAAACAGTGGATGAGAGATGGTTGTGTTTGAAAACCTCTGGGGCCCCATTCCAACCTTGACATTGGAATGGCTTCTTTGGTTAAAGTTGTTTGTTTCCAAGCTCAGTTTATGACCACAGTTTTAGTTTGTTGAGGGTCTTAGAGAGGCATCTTGGGATGATTTTCTGAAAATATAGTATTAGCCAAACCAAAGCAGTATAAAGGGAGACAAGCTTTTCTGGTGGGCAAAGATGGTATAAAAAAGGCTGGCCCAGAGCCTCTCTCCCCTTTGGCCACTCTAGTCAGGGAGTGGCGTCAGAAGGGTACTGCTTCTTGTCAGCCTCACAGATGACTGGCTCTCTTCAGCTACTGCTACCATTTTTGCTTTCTGCCTAGTCTCCTGGAAAGAGGAAGGACCTGGCTGGCAGCCTATCGCAGATGTAGCAATCAAAACTGTGTGTGTCCTGCAATTTGTCAGAGACTTCAGGTTGAGATCCTGCAGTGAAGGGCAGGTCTGGATGAAGCAGTTCATCCAGGATGAACTGTCTCTGTGCAGTTCTGCCATCATAGCACAAAAGCAGCCATAGACAGTACAGAAATGAATGAGGGTGGCTGTGTTCCAGTAAAACTTTATTTATAAAAGCAGGCAGTGAGCTGGAATGGGTCCCTGAACTGTAGCTTGCTGACCGCTGATAGAGACTCGGGTTGAAAGTTAGAAGTGTATAGAAAATATCAGTTTCAATTCTGTTATGTGTTGGAAAAAAGGTGAAATGGCATGTCCAGAGTCACACCGTGGTTGGGCTGGGATTGTAAACCAGGATGTACTTTTAGTCTAGGGCTTATTTTGTGATACCACATAGCCTCGGCTGTGTGGTCAGGTGATAGCATTTGGTTTTTAAGAGAAGGCCACGTGAATGAAAGGAAGCTCCATCCCCAGTGGCTGCTCCAGGTGGTCTATGAATAGAGACAGTGAGAGCCCAAGGGTGTTATTTTTAGGGAGGCAACCCTTTATCCCTGTGACCTGGCTTACCCCTTTAAAGGTGGGCCCTGTTCACAGGAAAACAAAATATATGTTGCCTAAATTCTTATGGAGAAATAGTGCCCTGGAGTTGTGAAAAAGAAATGGGCTCCCGCAGCTGCGTCACAGCATTTGATCACTTCAGCCGAGAGTGCCAGGAGATTTGAGACAGATGTTTTCAGACATGCCGCATGCCTAAAACATTTCCAGGGGTCGGGCTGCAAATAGTGACTTAATAAGTGGAGAAACAGGGAAAGTATGCAAGTTGAGGACACAAGAGTTTATTCACCGCTAGGTGCACGGCCAACCCCTTTGCATTACATCTGCCTGTCAGGGTTGGCTCTTTAATCTGTCGTGCCCTCGGTATTGCTCTTTGTCTGCCCGTGAATAAAGTGCAGCATTGTGGTTAGTAATCCCACTCCAGTGACTCGACTTCAAATGTGGTTTTGGAGTGCATCCCAGAGTTCTGTTTGCTAAGCTTCCTACTCCTGTTTCAGAGACACCACTGAATACAGAGCAGCGAGCACTGAAGGCTTCCCTCTTTCCTTAAACCTGTCGGGTTGTGGGCTCTCTCTTTCCCCCTCTTGCTCCTTTCTTTTCTTTTCTTCTGTTTTTTTAAACCTTCCAAGGCAAGTTCATGGATACTAAGCTGATGTGTTTGTTGTTTTTTTTCTCCCTGCCTCCGCTCCTAGTGAGTAACCACACTGGCCGCATCAAGGTGGTCTTTACTCCGAGCATCTGTAAAGTGACCTGCACCAAGGGCAGCTGTCAGAACAGCTGTGAGAAGGGGAACACCACCACTCTCATTAGTGAGAATGGTCATGCTGCCGACACCCTGACGGCCACGAACTTCCGAGTGGGTGAGTTCCTCCACGGTCCCTAACTGTCCTTACTGAGTCGAGTTTTATGAGATTGTAGCATTTAGACACCCCCTTCATTCACACTGCTCTCTGCTTCAATGGATGTCTGTCTATGAGTACGAATATGTTTCTTTCATGGGATCTTTTAAATTACTTTCGGAATAATTTTTAACCTGATTTTTAGTTTCTTAGGGGAATGGCAACTAGAATATTTTCCCTTATTGCTTAGCATTTACGCAGCCGTGTGGTAATGGGAATATATACAGTACAAGAAAAGAGAGTAGGTTTTAGATTTAGACCCTAAGGCATGACTTGTGCTGATAAGCTTCAAATTTTATCAGCCTAGTGATAAGTGGAATTTGTATTAGATTTGACTCATGTAATGAATTTTGGAAGGTGGTGATGAAATTTGAAGTTTTTACTTCAAAAATAGCCAAGTTCTAAAACAAAACTCCAAGAATTGTCAAAAACCTGTACTTGGTTGTAGAAAGGGATACAGAGTTGCATCTTTTGCCACGTTTCTGCTCCGTCTCACAAGACTGAATATAAATTGATATATAACGTGGATTTTGGGAAGACAGACTGGTAGATTACTCTCAGTACTCCTTTAAGTTAATTTAAATATGGACTAGTAGTTGCTGTCTGCAAGAAAGGCTTGTTGGTTCATTTTGAATTTTTGTTTTTTACTTTTTTGCAAATGGAGAAAGTATTGCGGTCCACGGAATGCTGTCATGTTGCCATGCTGTCATGCAATACAGTATTTTTGTCACAGAAAAATGTCTTTTTTTATTTTTTGACCAATTATGGTTTGCATGTGTACTCAAATAATCGCAGACACCCACGTTACTTTCTGAGTTACTCACAAGAATAACCCAAATGTCAGACAGATAATAACACTGGCTAGATCTGGTCTTTTTATGGAATATTGCTGTTTAGTCTTGGAAGTGTGTGTCTGGGGGGGCGGTGGTAGGAGAAGGGGTGTCTATTTCAAACTGATTTACATCAAGACAAAATAAAGGGAGAGCTTGAAGTTCTTATTAGCTCTTTGATTATTCCTTTGCTTTATTGTGACTCCCAATCCTTAGGAGGTCAAAGCATATTTTTAATCGTCTGTACTTGGAAAAAATATGTGCCCATAGATACGATTTAAAAGGGCATTGTGAGTTTCCTGGCTATGATAGGGGTACCCTGGGCATAGTTTTTAAAAGAATTTAGCTGTTAGGTGCCAAGTGGTACATTGTGCTTTGCAGGGCAGGGAGCCAAGTCTAATGGGAAGTGAACTGATGATCAGGAAACTGGATTCTGGTCCCGGTCCTGCCACTAACTAGCTAATCCATAGGGCATGCCAGTTAATATTTCTGGGCCTCAGTTTTTCTCATTCATAAAACAAATGGGATTGTATTTAATGGCCTCTAAAATTTAGTCCGTCTCTAAGATCGTATGACTTATTATCGGCAATAAGTAATACTATTTTCTGGCTTTTCTTGGAGGGCTACAGACAAGGAGGGGAAAGGAAAAGGCAATTCCAGTAGACTATCATGAGTCTTATGGCTTTTCCCCACTTTATCTTTCTTGGTTGCCTTCCTTACTCACTGCTCCTTTCCCTACTTGTGTTTATTGTAAATCTTTACAGTAGCAATGACAAAATAATCAAATGGGTGGTAATTTTTTGGCTTCCAGTGTATTCATTTTGAAACTAAATATTTTGAAGGCTTTGAGAAACAGAGGAAGTCTACTTGTCGAAACACGCCGCACACTTTCCTTCCTGGCACTGAACCAGATGTTTAGGAACAGAATATACATAGCCTATTCAAAATGCAAAATGAAGCAAAATTATTTACAAAAGCATTTCAAAAGCAGAACTCCACTCTCCATAGAGGGTTGGCAGAGCAGTTTAATTTTTTAAAAAGTAGAGGATGGGGTGAGAAGGGCCCATAGTAATAAATAGTTTCACACTGGAAATTGTGGGAAACACGTCATTTATATTCTGAGCTATTTCCCTCTCCTGTTTACATTTTATTTCAAATATTGGATAGTTTGAGGGATAATTTTTATGATATTTCTTTCTTTAAGAATGGTAATTTTGTAGAACTTATAGACTGTGATCTGTTGAAAATACAGAAAAATTAAAAATTTTTTATGCATGTATCTTTTTGGGACTTTACTGATTTAGTATAATTTTATTATTTACAAAAAGTGGTTTTCTGATTTTTTTCTTCTCTCTTTATATTTGTTTATAGTGTACCATATCTTTTGACAAAAAAGACGTATTTGGAAAATAGTTTAAAGTTTGGGGAAAATTCAAAATTTACTGTCACTTGTCAGCTACTCCCTTTGATCTTTAATATTTGTCAGTACTTAAAGGTGAGGGCTGGCAAACTTTTTGTAAAGGCCCAGATAGTATAAAATATGTTTTAGACTTTGTGGGCCATACAGTTTCTATTAAAGCTACTCAACTCTGCCATTGTAGTGTGAAAGCAGCCAGAGACAATCTGAACAAGAATAGGTGTGGCCGTGTTACAAAAACATTTGTTGGGCTGAATTTGGCTTGAGTGCCATACTCTAAGGAGTCAACATAATCCAGGGAAAATTATGTGGACTTCATAATCAGTTTTGATAATCAGCACAACAGAAATAATTTCCAACATTTGCATGGTGATTTACAGTTTTTTTTTTTTTTTTTTTGGATGTGGAACAGACATGATCATCACCATTTTTTCAATATAGAAACTTAGGTTCAGAGTGTTAATTAAGTGAGCTTGCTTTAGTTTCTTGGCAAGCCAGTTAGCTATGCCTAGAATCTAGATATCCTTTTGCCATCTGTTTTCTTACCTGCCTGGAGTCTGACCATGATGTATAGGAGGGATAAGGTGAAGGACCTCATGGAGTTGTGTCTTGTGGGAAGCCTGGCTGGGATAACAGAGAGAGAGAAAGCAACTGAGAGTCCAGCATACGGGGGCTGAATCCTGGGGTAACATTGGCTCTATGTGCTCTTTGGGCCCAGCTCACCTCCTCCATACGGTGCAGGTCCTAATAGATATGTGGAGGTTGTTGTTTTACAGGCTTGTGGGATAATTCCTTCCTTCCTTCCTTCATGCCGCTCCTGTGTTGGTCTTCTGGTCTGTGATGAGGGTGAGTCTGGGCTTTCCAGGTGTGAAAGGCGGCAGGTATTTTCGCGTGACTGTTGAGCATGCAGTCTCTGTTCTTGAGTATTCAGTGGGAGAAATAGTAAGTATGACTTTCGCTTAATGTGACTCTAAAAGTGAGGCCCAAATGAATATAGTATCCAAAGGAAGCACTCTGAGATTCTAGAAAAGCCCATTTGTATGGATAGTGATTTTGGTATGGTTTAACAGAATAATTACTTTAAATGGTATTTCCTATGAAGCAGGTTTCTAATGATAATGAGGTTTTTTTTTTTTTTTTTTGAGCTCTGCCTCCTTGTTTGCCCCACCCCTGCCTTTTTGAAAAATGGAAACATATCCCTCGTTGGGTGGGCCAGCAGGTTCACCGTTGTTGTTTTAATGGATTCTTAACATTTTATAGGGCTAAAATGCAGATGACCTTCTGGGATTTTTAAATTGTTTATAAAGCCTTAAGTTCCTCTGACAAGAAGAACATATAACTTCATGTTGTCACAACTAGAATATTTCAAACGCAATAATACTGTCACTTGGTATAACTTATTTGTGGAGACATTGAAAAGCAGTCATGATGGTCAAAAAAACACATTTGGTTTATGTGATTCTGCTTTCTCTGAGTTACAAAAGACTTATGTTCTATTAGCGCCCATTGAATAATTATGGAAAATATTTGACCATTTAAAAAGTATGTTCTCATACATGATTTCATTTGATGCTTACTGTCTCTTAGGCACATGGTAGTATCCATAATTTGCAAATATGAGCACTGAGGCTTTACTGGCTTGATTAAAGGTTATTTCAGCCAGGTTTTCTTATCCTAAGTCACAATACCTCTGGCTCTCCCATGTTGCCTCCTATGACCATATATTAAGTGACTATGTATAAAACATGGTAGTAGATTTTCTAAGATAAATCATAAAGCTGCCTTCTAAGAGCTTATACTTTGAGGAGGAGATGAAGGGTATATGTAAATAACGCTAAATTAAGGTAGAGAGCTGCTAGCCGGCGCCCAGAGAAGGGAAATATCACTTCTAGCTGAGGGAGGATGCTTAGAGAGAAAAGAGATGGCATGCAGTTTTAATGTTTAGTTCACCTTGCTGTCCCTGTCTCGCAAGCATGTTGTCTCATGGTGAAGGGCTAATAGAGAAATGCAGATGGCCTGATTGTGGAATGAAGGGAGATGTGGAACTTGAAACATTGGTAAGTTCCAAAATAAAAATGGATGGGGGAGTAGAGGGAAGAGAGAAGCAAAGTTGACATGGGAAGGAAGAATTTACCCCCCTAGAATTGGTCATGGAGATGAGAAGGCAGAGGTGGTTTCTGGGAATTGGGAACAGTTTCACTTAAATGTGGAACACATGAAAAATAATAATGGTAGATGACAAGTTGGGAAGGCAGATTGGTGCAAGGCTGTGGAACACCTTGAATTTCAAGCTTGGGCATTTGGATTTTACTCTTTGAGAATTTACTCAAGTTCTCTGAAAGAAGTTGATACTTGTCATTTTGAAGAAGAGAGAAGTGCTTTCAGTTTTTTAGCTAGGAAACTCATGTTTTAAGAGGCTAAATAAGTTTCTGAATAAATGACAACCTCTGGCCTCCTGTAGCTCTTCTGGGTCTTGTCTGATGCTCTGCACTGAAAATCTTCCTGGAGATTTCGCAAAACCAGCCTAATACCGTGGTGCTGGGATGAAGAACAGAAGCAGTTCGTGCTGCTAAGCTGACTGTGTAGGTTCTGCTCACAAGGAGGGAAGAAAATTTTCTCTCGTTGAGGCATTAAATAAACTGACGTAACTGCTCAAGAGGGGCAAGTATATAGTTTTTTCTGGAAAATTAGTTCAGTCACTGAGTTTCTCATCC